CTAAATGAACAATCTTGTACATTGTTTGTATTTGTTCTGGTTGAATACCACTTCTTACATGTGGATACGATTTATTGACACCGACTAGTAAAGCACCAATGAGTCGTGAATCAATCGCTCCAGTTTTCACACACGCTTTGAAGAATGACAAGTAAAGTTCAATCACTTCTTTGGCCATTTCTTTAGTGTCAATTTGAGTTAGAAAACAAATACCATAATATTGAGCTCTTTGATTGATGTTTGAACGGAATAATAACTTTCTAACTTCTTCAAAAATAGTTAGATTAAGATTGGATCGATGTTTCAAAACAAGCCGCAAAGTATACATAGCTTTTGATGCGACCTTATGAACTGTATCACCAAATTTATTCACGAGGTATTTTACAATCTGCATTTCACATTCAGTGCTATTGATTAATAATTTGTACATAGCTGAAATACTTTTTTCACGATTTATAGGTACRGAGTCTAATCCAACAGTGCTTAGAGCTTCAACAAAACTAGTGTATATATTTTTCAGTTTCTCTTCAAATAACCATGAGCTAAGTAACAGCTTACGTTGTTTCAAATCGTCCACTTTCGACAACTCGCTCAACGGCTGATGCTCAAAAGGTAATAGTTCGGTTTTYAACAATACTCTGGTGAACAATTCCGTTAAAGAATCAATGACAAGAGAACACTGTTGCTTTTTCCCWATTTTCACCATGTGCACAAGATTCTGCAATGCGGCAATGTTGTGCAACGGATCTTCTTGAATCTTTATGGTGAGTGCTGCGATCTTGTCCGAATACGTACCCTGTTTGGCGATCTCGGTGATCCATGATTTTTTTTTATCAGCTTGCGGTTGGTGTTCTAATACTTTTTCAGCTTCAAAACGCAAGGCTTCAATTTCGGACGTCGAAAGTGTGGTGCTATTACCAAACGTCGGTAGATTTTCATACCATTTCGGCAAATCGATGTCGTCGGCATCAGAGTCTGAATATAGTTGATCATAACCATCATCACCTTCCAACTCGCTATCCGTCTCTGATGAACTCATACTAGAGATGTGTCGTACGCGAACGAACGGATCAAAATGTACGGGTCCTACCTGTGAACGAAACAATCCGGATCGGGAAATAATAAAAATTAAAAAGTCGTTCTTTCGTTCAATTTCGTTCTCGTTCGGATTGCATTGCTACCAAATCAAAATTCTTAATAATGACCGTATTACATGTTCAAYAATATTTCGTTCCAATAGACATTTGTTCCAAAAACTTTTGTCCCAAAAACTTATTGGAACAAATTTAATTTGATAAAGAGAATATTGGAACAAATGTTTTTGTAGCATATAATATCCTATGGAACAAATATCATTGGAATAATTGGTTATAGGATTAATTCAACTAAATATATAAGAACAGCTGCTGCTGATATGGTTTGCAAAAAAATTCAGAGTGATAAGCAGTAAGTTGTCCGAAAGTTAATAAGAGTGGTTAGGTACGATGGTTACCTTTTGGTTACAGTGTGACCAACTTGAGGTGGCGTTGCACAGCCAGTCGAGGGATATTTTCGATTTGCGGAGCGTAGCAATGGCGCCGAGGAGCGTAGCAATGGCGCCGAGGAGCGTAGCGACGAGTGCCGCTAGCATGGCATCACTGACATGCATCACTCTAAATTATTTCGTATTGGTGTCACTGCTGGATCTCTGGTATATGTAAATAGTTGGTCTGGACCAC